CCCCCCGCCGGCCCCAGGCGGAGGAGGACCTGGGCGAGCTGTCGGAGCAGTTCTACAAGTACGCTGTGCAGGTCAGCCGTCTTCGCCTGGGTCTCCTCTAGCTGTGGGTGCTGCCGTTTGCCTCCTGGCCTTGCTGCAGAGCCAGAGGTTTTTGGATGTTCCCTGAACTGGGGCCACGGCTTGTTGCGTTCCCTGAACTGGTTGCAGGATCCGGGTGTCCTTGGCCAAGCAGGTATTGCCAGCCAGCTGGCACTTTCCCATTGCTGACTGTCTTGTGTGGTCAGCACGTGGGTGAGGGAGCTTTGCTGAAGCAGTGGGTTCGGGCAGGTCAGAGGTGGGAGGAAGTAGCCTGGTGGCACATTTGTAAGGCAAAAGGGAACGTGGAAACGGCCTAGCAGGATTTGGCTCCTGTCTAGATTCTCCCATTTGACTTTCTCAGTTTGTAAGTAAAAGCTTTCCTTTCTTCCGTCTTCAAAGCTCGTCTGGCTCTAAGAGTTTGTCTGTGAGGCAAAAGGCAGCACAGTGTAGATCCTCTGGGCTAGTGGAGTACTGAAAAAGGCCAGGCATAGTGGTTTGAATCTTTTTTCATTTGCAGTCCCCAAAACATTTTGAATGGAGGTGAAGACCCCTTTGAGTTGTAACCGTGGGTATTCACATACTTTTGAGTGGTTATAGTCATCTTTTGCAGACCCCTTAGACATAGTTTGTGGACCCTCAGGGGTCTGTGGAGCATGGGTTGTAAACCACTGGCCTGTTAGCTCACATGTAACAGTGTGCTAATGCAGCTATGTTGTGTCCATTTCCAAAGCCATCACTGAGCTTGGTATGGCTGGATGGTGTGGCTTTGTGCCACGGAAACTCAATATTTGAGAGCGCACACTTCCATCTAGCTTGGCTTAGCTTTGCCCTGCACTGCATCGAGCTGTGTAGATGTACCCTAAGATTCAAGCTGAGTTCTTTGATCTCCTTGCATGATGGCAGTAATGCTGGATCTGCAGAGCAAACTATGCCTCTGCTTGCGACCACATGATCCCATTGTCTTCAAATTACTGGCAACATTGCAAACCCACTGAAAGGCCTAATTTGTACAGGTATCCCTGCTGGTAGTATTTATATCAGGGGGCCGGGGTGCAAAATGGTGGATCTGGTCAGTGGCCGGACTCTGTTTTTCAGCAGCCCTTGCCTGGGTTGCTGAGGCTGGTTTCCATGGAGACCCCAGGAGCTGTGGAGCTGTGACAGTGTGCACCCAGGGTTTGCATGGAGATCAGCCCCAGCACCACTGGCAAGGCATGCAGCTGGGCAGGGAGCTGCTCCAGGGCTAGGGCTGGGATCTTGCAGTGGTGACAGCATAGTCCGGATCCAGGGCAGAGCTGTGATCTGTTGCTTGCGTGCCCGTGCTTGGGGCATGCGGGCAGCAGATCTCTGCTCTGCCCCAGTTCTGGACCACACTGTCACCACTACAAGTTTCCAGCTCCAGAACAGCTCCCCTGCCCAGCCGTGTGCTCTGCCACTGCTGCTGGGGCTGGTCTTCATGGAAACCCATGCTGTTACAGCTCCCCCACTCTTGGGGTCTCCATGGAAACTGGCTACAGTGACAAAGGAAGGGACTGCTGGGGAATGGAGTCCCACTTGGGCCTGATTCAGCCCATGGGCTGGACTTTGCCCACCTTTGATTTATGTAGTCATGTTTTAACTTCACTTTTGTGAGGGCTGAGGAAATAGCCATTGAGGGATTTTAATGGAGTGAGTGGTGGAGTGTGACGAATTCTGATTAAAAGGTAAGAAGTCATCCTGAGTAGATTTGCTGAAGGAGAAAACTAAAAAGACTTTGACCCACAAAGTAACCAAATGGGGTATTTTAGAATTTTTCACAGAATTAGATAGAAGACAAAGGCTTAACTTTGTCTCCCAGCTTGCAGTGTCCCTGTGAGGTGCACTGGAAATGCTGTTTGAAATAATTCTGCCTCTGCTGGAAACAGAAGAATTGTGGGTGTGTGTTCCTTTTCAGTAGTGAGTCTGGATTTAGACATTTAAAGCTGGTAAGTAGATACCAGGCCTGCTTTGAAAGACATTTTTTACATGTGCCACGCTTTGTGAACTTTGCCTCAAGCACTGCTAAACAAATATATGTTGGAGCAGGCCTTTTGATCCTGTTATTCCCCTGGCTCTTTCTCATAATGGTCTGTGATAGCTCCTTCAGACCATTCTGTAACAGTATTGAGTGGCTAACAGAAGAGTGTTCTGTTGACTCCATTCTCCTGGGCTTGTAGGGTGAAGAAACTGAGGGTTACCCCAATCAAGAGTACCTTTCAGTCCTCCAGACACATAGTACTGAAAGTATTTTCAGTTGATTAATTGCTTTCTGTGGTATGTGTCATTGTAATGTAATCTGGGACTGTCCAACTGGTGGCCCATGGGCCACAAGTGACCCATGGTGGGGTCCATTGCCTGTGGCCTCCCCCCCCCCCCCCCCCCCCAGTCTTTGCCCTTGTGGCAGTGGCCAGGTTGCCAGGCTGCCTTCCTCTGGCTTCTGCTTCCTGCCTCTGCTCCTGAGGGCAAAGTGGCATGGGTGGGGGGGGCGGGCTGTGCGAAACAATCATTGTTTCATTTTGACATCTGTTTCACCATTTTGAAGGGACAGTGTTTTGACATTTGGTTTCATTTTGAAGCACTGTCCAGTTTCATTTAATTTAAACTGTTTCTTTGTTTTGACGTGTTTTAACGTTTCTCCCGTGGGCTATAATGGGAAATCATGAAAATGCCTAAAACTTTATCATTTCTTGCCTGATTTGGATTTATATTGCAGGGATAGTAGCCCCTTCTGAGGGCATGAAGCCTGCCAAGTTTCAAGGAGATAGATGCAGAGGTTTCTTGGAAACCACCTTAAACTTCAAAAAGCAAAACTCATGACACTTGCTGGCAACGGCAGCCTCCTGGCATCCGGCACAGATCTGGGGGCCCACACCCCTGGGAGGCTTGTGGGGCTGTGCCGGACTCCTCCTGGGGGTGCAGGCCCCCGGATTTGCGTCAGATGACATGAGGCTGCTGCTGCTGACTGGGACCGGCGCTGGGCACAGCCCGCACCCAGCACCAGGGAAGACTGATGTTGCTGCTGGCCCCAGGCAGCAATGACAGCCTCCTGTCATCCAGCCTGGTGGTGGGAGGCAGGGGGAAGCCCCACGCAGCCCCACGGAGCTCAGCTTGGCGGTGGAAGATGGAGCACAGCCCTGGTTCTGCCCACCTCCCGCCGCCGGGCTGAGCTCCATGGGGGTGGCAGAGCCGATCCAAGCACAGCCCTGGCTCTGCCTGCCTCCAGGCTGTGCTCCTTGGGGCTGTGGAGCCCCATGGAGCACAGCCCTGGTTCTCCCCTGCCTCCTGCCACTGGGCTGCTTTGACACTTGAAAGGTATTGAAACTTTCAAAATGTTTCAAGTACCCTCGTTTCGTTTTGTTTCAAAGCTGTTTTGAAGCTTTTTGTTTCGTTTTGATTTCTCTGTTTCAAGCTTGAAACACATCCAAACAGCTTTGAAACAAAACACACAGTGAAATTTCGCACAGCCCTACTGTCCATGCTGCATGTGTAGTAGAAGGATGCTGGGCTGCATGCTCAGGAATGGGAGCCAGGCTGCCTGTGCTGCATGCTCAGGTGGGCTGCCTGCACAATGTGGGTGGCAGGGAGAGGTGTGGGGATGCTGTGCATGGGTTAGGGAGGGCTGGGATGTGTATGGCATGGGAGGGAGCAGGGCCAGATTGTGTGGGGTGGAGGATGTGTAGTTTGCCTGGATTGTGCATGTGGCAAGGGGGAAGCTAGTCTGGGCTGCGCACGCAGCAGGGATAGAAGGGAGAGGGAGAGAGCTGGCCTGGGCTGTACATGCAGTGGGTGGGAAGCTGGACTAGGGGTGTGGAGGTAGGGGGGGGCATCCCCTGGGTTGTGGGGCTTCCAGGTCTCCATCAGACACTTTGTCTGGCCCTTGGCTGCTGAGAAGTTGGACAACCTAACTTCTATTGAAGATAAAAAATGGAAAACTGAGTGGACGTGATGAATTGAAGACAGGAGTAAGGACAAGAACATTTGAAAGGAAGGCTGTAGCACATGGACTGATGACTCTGTTCTGTGATATGTACTATACTTTCAAATATTAGAGAAATAATAACTGTTTTTGGTAATCTGTAGAACCATATTTCAGGGGAACACTGGTTCAGTTCAGATGTGAGTAAAAATCTGTTTTTGCTCAGTCCCCAAACTATATTGAAATTCTGTTTCTCAAAAAGGATGTACAAATCCAAATTCAGAGGAGTTGTTCTTTTTACACTTTATTGGATCAGAAAAATCTTTTACAATGTGAATGGAAAACTTTTTTGCCTCCTTCCTTTTCCTTTTAACAGAATATCGGGATTGCAGAAATCTTTGGACACTGATACTATTTTAACATTGGTTTCAAAGAAGGCAAAAAACCCAAAAGTTTTGACTGGCCTAGAAAATGAGTATATCTTGGGGGGTTTTCAGACTGCAAAAGAAGTTATTTTGCTAGGTAATAAAAACTTTTCCTTTCAGAGATGCAATTATTTCTTAATCTTTTTTTTAATATTTACTTAAGTGAAATCTGAACATCTTTTTTTCCCATCAAATAAACATGTAAAGGAAAATACTGATGGTTGGGATTTTTGTTTTTTGTTTTCCTTATAGTTGGTTGAGATGTTGGATATGTCTGTCCCTGCAGTTGCTAAGCTGAGACGACTTTTAGACAATTTGCCTAGAGAAGCTTTGCCTGATATACTGACTTCAATCATTCGCACAACCAACCAAGAGAAGCTTCAGGTATTGCCTTCTTAACCTGCAAGGAGGGGGTAAAGGATTTGGTACTTGTATTTTAATGCATTATTAGATAACTTCAGAATAACACTTACTTGAGTTATAGATGACTAGAGTGCCTCCACCATTAGCTGTTCAGCTGTTGGTGAAAATCTCTGGGGTTTTTTTTCCTTTTCTAAATTATTTGTCACTTGCTTGGCAGGAAACCACAGTAAGTTTCATTTGCCTAATAAGAGATTCTTTGTCTAAATGTTGTGATTCATATGAACATATTTGGAATTCAGTATGAAAGTGAAGGGGTGTGTGTGTACACACATACACAAGTAAAGGAAAAATCAGGGACAGAAGTTGGGGCTTGTGGGATTACTGGAGGAGATCATCCTACAGTTTTCTCAGACGGCTGGGTTGTACCCTCAAGCTTAATAATTGAGAAATGAATGCTGCAGGGGACACACCTAGAATAAAGAGGTGCATTTAGAAAGAGAAGTAGGCTTAGACTAGCTTTTAATTTCCCAGCTTCTTAGCAGCAGTATCATTTCTGAGGGTATTAGATGCCAGTCCTGCAAGTATTATATATACTTCAAACCTTTATCGAATACCTGAGAAGCTCAGTAACGAATGCTGTATACAAATGGCTAGTGAAAACTAGCCATTATGGCCCCCACATTTCTCCACCTTTACTCTGGAAAATTCTTTTAAGGCAAGTGCATTTCTCTGCCATTAAGACAAAGCAAGGTATTACATATTCATTAATCTCAATTAGAAACCGGGCTATTTCTGTTTTCAAAGGTTTCCTTTGCTTCTCATATTTAGTCTGTTTTCTTTCAGTTCTTGGGTTGGAATATTTCCAGTTGCGTTTGCTCTGGTTTAACATCAAATGCAAACCCTGAAGTCATTTCACATACTGCGTGTTCCATTTTTCTGTTAATGGGCACTCTTGCAGGTTTTGTTTTTGTTTTTTGAAAAGTACCTGCCCTGACTCTGATCAAATGTATTAGTAATCCAAAGGACATCTGCAAGTTACTGTTTGCTGGGAATTAAACTTTAAATGATACAGGGAAATGCTGCTAACTATTTTCATTTTTATTCCATGCTTTTAGATTTTGGATGCTGTTAGCTTGGAGGAACGGTTCAAGATGACTATACCATTGCTTGTTCGACAGATTGAAGGTCTGAAGCTGCTTCAGAAAACCAGAAAACCCAAACAGGATGATGATAAAAGGGTAACAAACCTCTAAATACAGGATTTTCAAATGTAATAATGTCAGGTCATTTTTCAACAGTGGCCTCCAAAAATGAACCTGCAGTCATTCATGTTTAATCTGTGGGAGTAATTTTTCATACTCATAGTTAACCTGTATGAACATCTGACTTACATAACATACACAAGTTGGCAATTTTTAATGGTTTTCTAGATGGCTCAATAAAATGTGACACTTTTACATTTTTCACTTTTTGACATCCATTACAAATACAAATTGATAGCAAAGGTATTAATACTTTTGTAAATTCTTTTTGCATGTTGAGTGTTGTCCCATACACAAAAGTGAAAAATTTGAGTAGAGCTTTCAAGTTCACACTGAAGATTCTTTCAGAATATGGACTTTGTTGGGTTTCAGTGTTAGAATTAAAATTTGTAATGGTTTATCCATGAAGCAAATTGAGATCCATAAGTTGCCAAAACATCACATCACAATTTGGTATATATGCAGCCATGTATATTTGCTAATGATGAGCAATTGCTTTCATGGGAAGTAGAGGGTGAAGGGGGTCAAACCAGAGTTTGCAAGCTGCATGGACGTGCAAGTTCAATGTGGCTCCTTAAGAAAGAGAAGTAATTAGAGAAGAAAAACCTGTGTTTTCATTTAGCTGTTTCTTTTTCTTGAGTTTGATTTTTCTTCAACTCTTATTATTTATTCTAAGAAGACATTTTACAACAAATTATTATTTTAGCTGGGACTTTATGAGCCTGTCTACATGTCACCGTGCTTTAGTACTTCCTTTTGGAAGTACCAGGGGAGCGTTCTGCTGCGGCAGTGTAGCTGGCAATCGCATGTGGACCTGCACAATCGCTACTTCGCTGTAGTGCACCACTATGTTGCTGTAGGGCATTGTATAGATGCGCCTTCTGTACACCCCTTTGATTCTGGGACATGTATTTCTTGAAAGTTTTATGTCATGTCCTACTTTATTCTAACAGTATAGGTCAGACCTTTGTAATTACTATAGAATATACTACAGAGATTTGAAAAGCATTTTAACAGTACCTTCAGATTTCTTTCTTGTCATCTGGAATCTTAGTGTACTTTGTAGATAGATTCAAAAGGACCTGTCTGCTCATTTTAATAGATGCTATTATGTATCGAGTAAGTTTATGAATTGTAATCAGATCTGATTTTCTTTATAACATGGATCAAATAACTTCTTGCAGTAGTTTATGGTTCTTTCTCATAACCTCAATTTATAGTATGATTTTTCAAAAAGATATTGAGGTGCAACTGTGTACCTCTCTTATGCTTCTTAGGTTGTAGCTATTCGTCCTATTAGAAGGCTCAATCACATTCCAGGTGCTGCAGAGGAAGAGGAGGAAGAGGAAGATCATGATGATGTTGTCATGCTAGAAAAGAAAATTAGAATATCCAGTATGTCAGAGCAAGCTCTTAAAGTATGTCTAAAAGAAATGAAGAGGTAGGTGATAAAGCCTCTAAAATAGCACCTTTTTTAATTGTTTAATTTACTTTAAGACTTAAATTAGCCAGTCTTGCCATATATTTTTTTTTCTTGTGATGTTATTTTTTGCTGATTATTTTGAGAAATAGTTGTTTTTATGCCTGGGTATTTCATCTCTTTAGAGTGCCCACAATTAAGAAAGCACGTGATGTTTAGAAATGGGTATAACATTACAGTACAAACATTAAGCCTCTGTATACCTCTGAAAATGGATAACATTCTCGGTCTTTAAATATATAGTAGGGAAAGTTTGACCTTTGTGGCGCCATGATACAAAATACGTCTGTAACCTAAACGATCTGAATAGCTAAAAGGATTAAAATAAAGGGGAAGAACGCTATCATGAAATTAGTGTTGATCGCATGATGCAGGTTCTGTTGGATGACAGAAAATGTTGCTTTCCTTTATTTAAAAAAAAAAAAGCATTGGTACCATCTTTGGTTAATAATGAATAACCACAAAAAGGCTTGTTGGAGAGACAATAGTCATGATCATGTAATGAGATTATCAGAATGTGTATTCACAAAAGGGCCAAATTATGAGTTCAAAGATAATTTTAATTTTGGCATTTCCTTCCCCTCATAGCCACTTACTTTCTAACTCTACCTGCCATGCTGCAGCCAACTCCATCTTCTCCCCCAACACTATGAACAGCCCAGTTGCCTAGGCTGGAGGCTGTTAGGTGGTCTGTGGGGGTGGTATATACATGATCTGGGTAAATAAGAGTTGTAACTGGATGGAGTGAGGATGGAATGTCTGGGGCCGTGAGCTGTTAAAATTAAATCTTCTGCTGAGTATTGGCAAGCTGTAGTTTTCAAAGGCTTAGAACTTGGCCGGTTTTGGGTAGGTTCTCCTGAGGATGGCAAAAGATACATTCCTGACATGGTCTCCTGAGTTCCAGTGTAGTGTATTAACCATCAGGTCAAACTGAGACTTAGTTGTTTTTCTCTGTATTGAAATTACCAAAATAGAAATAAGGTGAGAAATGTTAGAGGTATATTTCAAGGGAATTAAATCTCTGCTGCCTCCTTGCATTTGCACTTTTTGTACAGACTCATAAGTAAAAAGAGGTACAGGAAACCCTTGCTATTCATGATCTCCAGATTTGCGGATTCAAATATTCATGTGGGAGGGCAGAGCCGGGAGGCAGGTGGAGAGCGCTGGGGACGTGGAGGGAGGTGGCGGCATCTTCTCCCCTGGAGGCAGCCACAACGGTGCTCAAGTGGGGGGAAGGGTTGGTTTCCAGGCGCTGCGGGGGAACCCCGGGGACAGAGAGGGAGGCAGCGGTGGTGGCATCTTCTCTGCAGCCCGAGGCAGCTGCGGCAGTGCTCAGAGCAGCCGTGGCGGCATTCGGGGGGGGAATGAGGTCAGTCCCCAGGCACTGTGGGGGAGCCCTGTAAAAAATGGGGGGAGCAGGTGGCAGCTGTGGGGTCTGACAGGGAGCCCCGTCAGTATTTGCAGGTTTTGCCATTCGCAGGCATTTCCGGAACGTATCCCCTGCGAATGGCGAGGGTCTCCTGTACACATAATCTGGTTATTGGAGGCCCAAGTGCTGGTTTGCACAGTCTTCTATAACTAATACAGGGAACTAACACCAGCTTCTGGTAGAAATTATTCAACAGAATGAGCAGTAAAGCAATGGAAGGGCTGTCAGGAAATACTGCAAGGCATTACCACTGCAGTTATTAAAAAACAAATCCAAGATGGGTATGATATAGGAAGGTCTTAAATGAAGATAAGTGTCATATTCTTTCAAGTGAATCATGTAAAGTAATACGTGAAAAGCTAATGATCCATGTTGATTTAGGAACGTGCTTTAGGTGTTGTGCACACACGTTATATGCAACATGTGGAACTTGCATACCTACATCAGTGAGACAAATCTAGCCTTATTTATTTTTTTTAAAGAAATTATATTTAGGGGTGCACCAATAAAGATTTTCTTCGCCGATACTGATAGCCGATTATTAACCAGCCATATTGGCTGATACCGATCCAATAACTGATTTACAGGAATGCAGCTGGATAGCATACAGAGCAGCTCCCTGCACGTAAGTCTGGAGGGGAACAGGTGTGGGGGAGGGAAGGAGTGTGGGGGTGGGGGCAGATCGAGGTCCCCACAGTGAGGGAGGGAGTGGGGCAGGGGCTGGGGGTGCTGTCCAGCTAGGGTGGTGAGCAGGCAGTGAGGCAGGGGCTGGGGCAGAGATTAGGGCAGAGCCGTGGGGATCAGCATCCCAGTGCTTAAAATTGGCAGCAGCGGAAACTAAACTAAAGCTTGTCCAATGTGCTTTAGTTCAAGCGCTGGATAGCATACAGAGCAACCCTGCCCTGGCTCCGGGTCCTGTATACTGCCTTGGCTGGGCAGTGCCCCCATCCCCAGCCTCTGCCCCTGCCCCACTCCCTCCCTCATTGTAGGGGCCTTGATCTGACCCCCCCCCCCCCGCCGTCGTTGCTGCCCCCCCCCCCCCCCGCCCAGCGCATCTTCCCCTCTGCAGATTTACTTGCAGGGTGCTGTTCTCCATGCTGCCTGATTGCATTCTGGGCCATGTGCACGCATGTGGGGCCCTGGCCAGAAGGTATATCATATTTATTGGCAGCACTATCGGCTAAACTGACCAAAAAAACCCAATATCCAATAATGTTAATTTTTCTTTCATCGGTGCTGATCTGATATGCAACCAGTATATCACTGCACCTCTAATTATTAGCCATGTAATATTCCTGTTAAGAATGGATGCTGCTATTTTATGCTAATTATGAACATGCTGTTTTAATTTAGTGATTTACAATCTTAAAAATGAGCAGGGCATTGTTTTGTAGCATTAACATTTTCAGTGTAGTAGGGAATGCTGTGGACTTCAGTGTGCCAGAAATGGACCTTTGTAGAAGGGAAGGAAATCTCATCTTGTGCTTTCCATCTCCTGAATATTCTTATGCAGTTTTTCATTCAAATAATTTTTAGATTAAAAAAGATGCCTCAATCAATGCCAGAATATGCTTTGACCAGAAATTATTTAGAACTGATGGTGGAACTTCCGTGGAACAAAAGTACAAAAGGTGAGTGCATTTTAGCCTTCTTTGATACTACTTATGTGTTATGCAGAAATTCTAGGAGAAGTGTCTGTCATTTGACATTTGCTGTGTGTACTTGGGTCTGGCTCTTGAATTTTTGTCTGCCAGCAAAAACTGCCTTGATGTGCTAATTTGATGTTTAGTTCTTCCTGATTGAAAGATTATCTTTTAGTCAAGCAGTCTAGATGATATAAATGGAGTTAGTTTTTCTTTTTTCTTTCAGCAGGTCCTGACATTTTTATTATTTTGTAAAATAATTCTTTCCACTGTTTTGGTAATATGGAATTGAATGGAACCTCTTGTGTCATTAAGTTCAGTCTCCTGCTTCAACTGGGAACCAAGTCATATAGGACACTTTTACATATGTTTTGGTGGGGGGGGCAAGGTGCCTATAAGTGCCACTCTAATTAACGTGCCACAGTGTCTTATGTATCTGGGTCCCTGTGCTTAAAAATGGCAGTTCCGAGCTTTAGTTTAAGTGCCCCCACTTCTGCTGCCATTTTTAAGTGCAGGGACACATACACAAGACACAGGAGGCTGCTGGAGCACAGTAGTTACTGCACTCCAGCAGACTTGATTAATTGCATCTGCTCCAATGCGCTGTAATTACAGCACATTGGAGCAGCCTCCGCACTCATATACAGGCACCCCTAATTCCTTTAGGCCTTGGTCAGACAAATTTTGTAGTTGTTCCAATATTTTACTCCTTTGATAGTCCCCCTAAGAAACCTACCATTTTCATACCCTAATGCAATGAAGGTTACTTGTTTAATATTGACTCTAGGAAGGCTACTGATTTCTTTCTTTCTTTTTTTTAATCGGTGGTTTTCAACCTTTTGGCTCCACTGGCCAAATGAGTGGTATGGGGTTGGTCCATGGACTGGATTGCCTTGGCCCTGTGCCCAAGGATCAGGCCTGTGCCTGGATCTGGCCCACACTATCCCTACCTGGCCTCATGTGCTGCCTCCACTGGGCTCTGTGCATGGAGGTAGGGGCCCTGGGAGCCCACACCACTACCATCCAGCCCTCCATGAAAAGATCAGGCTATCGGGCCTCATGCTATCTTTCCCTGACCCCACTTGTAGGAATTGGGTTCTGTGGTCTGCACCAGCTCCACATGCTGGGATTGGGACCCCACATCGCCTCTGCCTGGTGCCACTTGCAGATCCAGATTCCACCCAGCCCTGCATGCCAGGATCAGGCCCCACACTAGTGTGCATGCCTGATCTAGCCCAATCTGTAAACATTTTTAGGCTGTCAAAAACAATCTTTTGGGAAAGGTTAGAGGGAGGAAACACTATCCTTTTCTTCTGTTAGGATTTGCTACAAGAATGGTGATCTATATGAAATCACCATCAGTGCTAGTCTCCAATCAGTGCTAGTAGACTAGCTATAAACCAATGTATGCCTGTTGTTCACCCACATGAGATTCTAAAACTGTGGCAAGGGGGTAAAAAAACTATATAGTCAAGTCATACAGGCTAACTTCCTTACAAAAAGGGAAGAGAGAAATGTACTTAATTAGTAGTGGTTTGAATATTGTGCCGTCAGTCTTAGAGATTGGTTTGTTTGTTTTTTTTGGTGGGTGCTTCTAGGGACACTTAAGATTTTGCCATTCACATACAATAGTAAACATTGTCTGCCATATAGAAATAGTTGCGTTTAATTTTAAAAGAAAATATGCTGACATCCTTATTGGTGTATCATAGACCGGCTGGATATTCGTGCAGCCAGAGTTCTTCTGGATAATGACCATTATGCCATGGAGAAATTGAAGAAGAGAGTATTGGAGTATTTAGCTGTCAGGCAACTGAAAAACAACCTAAAGGGACCCATTCTTTGCTTTGTGGGTCCCCCTGGAGTTGGTAAAACTAGCGTGGGAAGATCTATTGCAAAGACACTGGGTCGAGAGTTCCACAGGATTGCCTTAGGAGGAGTATGCGACCAATCGGACATTCGAGGCCACAGGTATCTTTATCCTCCTTCTGTGCTTAAAGTTTTCTACTGTATATTCTGGTAGTTCTTTGATCTTTAGTGTAATTAATGCTTCTAAAAACACTAGTTGTGACATGAATGTTATAGAAAGGAAATAATAATATTGAAGGATGTTGAATATTAAGAGCGACTGGGCTTTTTAACCTTGTCTGCTGCTGCTCTTTGTTTTAGTTGTAGAGTATATAATGTGTAGAAACCTACTTAACGTGCAATTTTGTGGATTTCGTGGAAGCTGTGAAATTTTGCATTGTCCTCAAGATCTGTGAAATACACCCCCCCCCCCCCAAAAAAAAAAAAGAAAAGAAAAGAAAAGAACAACACTTACTAAAAAAAAAAGTGCTGGCTCCCCAGTGTGTCAGCAGTCCGCATAGCCACTGCGGCCCAGCTTTGCAGCCTGCTGGGGGGAAGTGGGGAGCTGCCAGTGCAAAGGGGTGCAGCCAAGATGGCCTGCCTTTTCTGCCCTCTTGCCTCCCGCCCCTCACTGTTGATTGGCTGAGAGGGCAGCCCACCCCTCTCCACCAGTCAGTGGCAAGGGTCCGGCCATGTAACAGACTGCTCTCTCGACCAATCAGTGGTGAGTGGCAGGGCCACCAGGGGCCTTTGGCCAATCAGTGGTGAGAGGTGGGCTTGCTGTGAAAAGGCTGTAAAATCGACTCTGTGGCCTGCAAAAATCCCTTTCGCTCAGTGCAATTTAGGTAGCTTACTAAGCTAGGATTTGCTACAAGAATGGTGATCTATATGAAATCACCATCAGTGCTAGTCTCCAATCAGTGCTAGCAGGAAGCTTACTATTGGGAAGCTTACTAAGAATCTGTAGATCTGGAACTCTTACAGGCTTGAAAATAGTGTAAAAGGTTCTTTGCCTAATCAGGGACCAGTACATGTCACATGGGAGGAGAAGGGGACAGTTCTAAAAATTTTGTTGTCCAAGATGAAATTCAGTGCATTTCCAAATGTTATAAAGCTAAAAATTTTCTGATAATCAACAAAGATTATTCCTTAGTTGGTTTGTTACCCGTTATCCCAGGACACTTTCTCTTAAGGCAATGGTGTGAGTTCTGACATCGCTATTATTAGGAAGAAATTAAGATAGAAAATGCAAAGCAAAAGAATAGTGGGGTGTTCCTCTCCCAGCTGGATGGCTACTTCCATCTCCTGTGTTTAGGCGGGTTGGAACTGAACTTCAGGAGAAACTGTCATGCATACAATTATTCTTTCTGGGTGGCTCTGATTTTTCTCCCCGTTAATATTTTTATTAATTGAAATACCAGATGAACACCAACTGATTTTTATTAGTCAGGCATATAAGGGTGCACACCTCATCCAGTGAAGCAGATACTTAACTGATGCTGGGGAAAAACAGAATTTGAATATTGCTATAATATTTGTGGAATTGAAAATATTTTGTTTTCAGCATCATTAGCTTTATTTCAACAAGACTTTATTCAGTGGTTCATTTTGAACTTGAAGAATCCAAAAGAACTGATTTTTTTCATTTTTTTTTAAACATGAACAAGAATCCTTTCCATCTTATTACTTAATAAATTTTGACTGTATTTAATTTTTTCCCTTTAGTTTATGCAAATTACCTATTCACTTCTTACCAGTTCCTTCACCTTGAGGTGTAACACTTTTCCCAGTGTTTGGCAATAGCTGTAGTTACTGATGGTTTTCATGTTTACTGCATTTAGAGAAGAACAGAAACCATGTCTGCACAAGGAAAATACAATAAGAAGACCTGAAATATAAGGCATACTAGTCAGCCTTGGATAGCTGTGTTAGCAGATCCTATGTGGCCTGCCATTGGTTTCTAAGTTCCAGCAGACCAAAAGTTCCCAGCCGCAACTTCATCCACTTATTTCATCAGTGTCAATAGACAGAAGATTTCACTTAGAAGCCACATCTCTTCCTTAAATACTAGTGACACCGTGCTTTTTTTTTTGGCTCTCCAACAATTATTTATCTTGCTTGTATGTTTTCTTCTAGAGTTAAACATGGACCTTGGTGTATAGAGCAGTGGTGCTCAACCTTTTTAGCCAACAAGCTGGATGGGTGGTGCCTGTTCCATCCATGGGCCGGATCTGGCTCATTGTCCCGATCCAACACCCAGGGTGGTCGTGCTGGGACCCCATCCAGCCATTCATGGAGCAAGGGAGTATGGCCCATCCCCAACCCATCCCCATGGGATAGGGAGGAAGGAGGCTTGACCCAGTCCCAGACCAGCCCTGCGGGGGGCGGGGGGGAAAGCTAGGTTTACTAAGCTGGGTTTTCCTGGACATGTCTTCTTTTTGGGTCCTCCCATCTCTGTCAGGGCAGTTTTTTAAAATATCAGCAAATGTCCAGGATCTTGCTCTGCCTCTGCCCCAGTAAGGAGTTGCTTGGGGCTAGGGACAGCAGGGGAAGGTGATTGGAGGCAGGGAATCATGTGCTGTGATTCCAGCAGCCAGGCAGCTGTAGGCAGAGGTGCATGTGTGCGCGCATCTGTGCATGCCTGCTGCTACTGGGGTTGCAGCAGGGCAGGGGAAGGGGGTGGGTGAGGAGGGGTTCTTCTGGGGCATTAAGGAGCTGCATGAGCAGCAGGGCTGGGCAGTGAGATGCAGGTTCGGAGTGAGGAGGGAGGCAGTGGGCTTCAGGTCAGGAGTGAGAGGTACCGGCAGGGCAGGGCAGGGGCAGGCAGTGGACTGTAGGTCAAGAGTGAGGGGCACCAGCAGAGCTGGAGGGGCCAGGAGGCTGCAGGTTGGGCGTGAGGGGCATCAGCAGGGCTGGGGGAGGCAGGGGGTTTTGGGTCAGGAGTGAGGGGTATCAGCAGGGACAGGGGGGTTGCAGGTTGGGAGTAAAGGTTATCAGCATAGTCTGGAAGCAGGGTACTGTGGGTCAGGAGTGAGGGGCAGCAGCAGGGCTGGGGGGACTGTGGCTTGGGAGTGAGGGGTAGGGGCAGGGCATGGGCATATCACTGCCTCCTCCCACAGTCATATACCCCTGTGGGGTGTGGCATTGGGAAGGGTAGCAATATTAACTGTCACTGCTCCACCACTGGCAAATTTCCTGACCTGTGGGGAGTCCCACAGGCCAGATGCCATGGCTCTGTGGGCGACATTTGGCCTGCAGGCAAGAGGTTGAGCACTCCTGTTATAAAAGAACTTGTTACACCAGTTTTCAGTAGTAGATTCAAAATGGAGCCTCATGTTTTTAGTATGAGATATCCAGTGTTTGTGCAAATGCTTCAAGGTGCCAGAGAAGTTTAAAAGAATCAAACCAAATGAAATACATTGCATCTTGGCTCCCTTTTTTACAGATGATTTTCCTACTATTTAGTGCAGTAGCTGTTTTTAAAATAATTTGAGCTCTCTTTCTGTTAGTCAGTTAAATTGTCTGTCACTTTTACTGCCTAATGTCAGATCAACTTTGTTAGAGCAGAACATTAAATCCAGAACAGTGGGTTGTTTTTTCTGTTTTGTTTTTGGGGTTTTTTGTTTTAAAAAACTGATGTGCTTCAAAGCGCAGAGAACAGGTTGGAAACTGTTTTTAAACTTCTGTTAATGCTGAACAACGTTCTGTTCTTGCATGTCCCACCATGATATATATATTTACCAAAATGGATATTACTAACATTAAACTTCTGGTTTCAGAGGGAATTTTAGAATTCTCCTGTCACTGAGAGCTAAATTTTGAAAAGTGAATCCTGTATGTGTTTTAGTGATAGCATGCAGTTTATAGCTTGCCCAAGGCGTGTTCAAGTTTGTGGATTTTGGGAGGGGGGGACATACAGCTAAGACTAGACTTTTTAATGTCTTACCATGTTTCCAAATTATTCAGGCATTGGTAGAAGACTGCCTACATATATAAGTATATGAGCTCTGTATTATAGATCATATATTCTTAATTCAGGTGTTTTAGATGACTTTGCACTTGTTAAATACAGAATTAAAAGTTTGTTGCATATTGCTATTCAAACTGAAACCACTAGAGGCTGTTAAATACTACTGAAAGAAGTTTACATAGATGCTAAGTAACATATTTGTCAGGAGGAAGTTGGGGGTAGGACTTCAGTCTGGGTATTCAGTTTCCAGGGGAGTGCTCTGCCTGCATCATTTACTGAAGTCATCAGTAACTTCTTTAGTTACCAACAGTTAGTCACAGTTTTATCAATCTTATTTCACATTCTTCAGCTCATCCTTATTGTGCAACACTATTTTTATTTTATTTTAATGACCTTTAATACAGTTTTGAAATGAAATGCTTTGGGCCATTATCAGATATTATTCTATATGCATTATTTAAATTGAAGCTTTACAAAGAGAACTATTCTAATAGTATAAAGGCCTTAATCTGTCTGTCTGTCCATGACACTTTGTTCACGCTCTGATTGGCTGACAAACAGCCAATCAGAGTGTGAAGAAGTGTTCGGACAGGTGGCAGTGCGCCACCATGATGGTGGGGACACAGGGGATGGAGCGGAGGGGGGGCGAGGGGGAGCACAGCTGTCCTTGCCCCCCTCCCCCCTGTCCTGCTCCCTGTAGGTGGCAACAATGGAGTGGAGTGGGGGGAGGGGGACGAGGCCACCAGAGCTGGCCTCGTCCCTCCCCCCCTTGCTCCTTGGAGGTGGCAGCGGTGGGGAATGGGGTCAGTGTGCCGCGGGGGGGCGAGGCCACCAGTACAGGCGTTGGCATGCCCCTCCTCCCTTCTGTTGTCTCTGCCTGCAGGGCCGACGTGGTGGGAGGTGGAGTGGGCCCGATGTGGGGGGCAGGGAGGAGTGGGTGCACTGTGGCTGTGGTGGCAGTGAGGGGAGGGGGAGAGTGGGCCAGGCAGGGGGACAGTGGGGGGGTGCAGTGGGGGAAGGGGAGGAGGAGGAGCGAGCCCGACCAGGGGAAGAAGCTGCTCTGCTGTGGCGGCGGCGCGGGGGGGGGGGGGGGGGGGGAGCTCCTGGCCTGCCCCACGTGGCAGCAGCTAGGGGAGGGGAGGAGCAAGCCTCC